CAGAATCCTTGGCGAGGAATGTTTTTTTTGCTAGGGTTTAGGGTTTAGGGCCAGTTTAGGGTTTAGGGGTTTAGAGCCAGTTTAGGGTTCAGGGTTTAGGGCCAGTTTAGGGTTTAGGGTTTAGGGTCCAGGGTTCTCATTGGATGAGCCATACGTGTGAATGTGATTTCCCTGTGAGCTGGCTTGGGTCAGAGGAAAGGTTAGCCCAGATTTTTTGGTTGGCGGCAGCTGACCCCTAAACCCTAAACCCTGAACACTTCAGGATGAAGGCGGGTTTAGAGGGCTTTAGGGTGGGGTCCTTCGGGATTTGGATTCAGAGGCTCGCTGGTGTTAAAGCAGGGGCTTTAATTATTCATATCTACCTATACTACTTTGTACTTTGGGGGTTCCTTACTATACTTCTAGTATCATATACCCCACAACCCTATTCTAATTGTTAAAGGCCCCTAAACCCTGAACCCTTACAGTAGCCCTTATAGAACTTTAAGGAACCCTGTAAAGGAACCCCCAAACCCCATTCCAACATTATCCAGGCCCAAACCCATTGGCTCAGCCAAGCAGAGGCATTTCGCATCCATAGCAGTAAGAACCCGGAGCCCCTGAGATCCGAGAAAAAAGCCTAGGGAGAGTACAGGTCTAGGCTCTAGGGGTTTATAGGGTTTAGGGTTTAGGGGTTTATAAGGTTTAGGGTTTGGGTTTTTTTGGGTTTAGGGTTTAGGGGTTTAGGGCTTAAGGTTTCTCACAGGTTTAGGGTTTAGGGGTTTATAGGGCTTCAGGGGTTTATAGGGTTTAGGGTTTAGGGGTTTATAGGGTTCAGGGGTTTGTGGGGTTTAGGGTTTTGGGGTTTGGGGCTTAAGGTTTCTCACAGATTTAGCGTTTAGGGGTTTAGGCTGTAGGGGCTTGGAGGGTCTAGGGTTTAAGGGTTAAGGTTAAGGGTTTAAGGTTTCTCACATTGGTCATTTAATGGAACTGTTTACATCTAATGCGAGTCTAACGGCTGAGAGCCTTAACCCCTAAACCTTAAACCCTCAAGAACAGGATAAATAGAAATCGTGTGATATTCGCTGCGAAATGCATCTTCATCATAAAACGTGTGCGAGGAGACCCCGGCCCAATTCCAAGCCCAGCCAACCCCAGCCCAGCGCAGCGCAGCCCAAATGCGAAATCGAAAGCAAAAGACATAAACTGCTCAAAACTTTCGGTCAAAACCCCGAACCCAAACTACCCGAACCCTGTACAATTTCTATAATAACCCTTAACCCTGATATTCAGGTCGGCCCTGACCCTGGACTTTGCAAAATGCCAGAAATATGGCCACCCAAGAGCACTCACAACATCAGGTGTTCGTGTATACGAGAGCCCAAAGTGCTTATAAAAAGCGCGGGTAAGCAAACACCATACTACCCTTCAAAATCCGGACCGGAGGTTTAAGGGTCTGTAGTTCAGGACTTAATTTGTGTACTAGGGATCCAGCTTCTGGTTCAGTGTGGTTTGCCAAGTCCCCAAACTCTTCAACCCAAGGACGTCCTCCGCTGTGACGGTATGGAGATTCTTCACCGCGCAGACGGTGGAAGAGCACATCCACAAGCTGCATTTCAGGGTTGCAAACCCTGATACCTGAGTAATTCATGATTCGAGCTTATGCTGCCCTGCTTGCTGTGCGCGAGCTGATGCAGCTACCCAGCCTGCGCCGTAAAACGCGCGCTTCGAGGTTTTAGAGATTTTTGTCTTTGCGGATTTCGGGAATCATGGTTTTTGCATGTCCCTGAGCCGGTCAGGCTTTGTCTCCGGACTAGCTATTCCTGGATCGTCGCTACTGTCATGATTATAACCAAGAGATCTCCATCGAGCCGATGAATCCTATATGAATATGGATCGAGACAGATAACTTATCAATTCTGATCATCAATGAGGAGTCTACAATTATTAGATTGTTATTATTCATATTCTTCCTTATTAATGAAAGAACCATCATAAAATCGATATTGAATATTTCTATTTATATTTCAATTATTGCCGGTATGATTTATATCCCCTTTTGGAATAGATTCATTATTCTTATCGGTTAATATATATATATAATTGGTTTTGAAAATATTAATTTTTATATTTGATATTTTAAAATCTGATACGATTGGGAGGCATAGTTTTATTCTTGCGATATATTTATTTCTGACTATGAATAAAGGGTTATATATCGATTCGAAATTTGATATTGATTATAAAAAAAAAATTAAAAATTGAATTGATAGGATATAGATTTATTGTTGATTATAGAAACTTTAATAGATCGATATATTGAAATATTTTCTTTATTGGAAGTATTTCGTAAGTTTAATAATGAGAATATTGGGAATGCGAAAAATATATTCTTATTAAAATATAAAAGGTTAAATATTTCTTTTTTGTATCTATTGAGTTTGATATGAATTTATTGGTTATTAAAATATCGTCGTATTGCTCGTTTATCTATTTTTCAAAATTTCTATCTCGGAAATAGAGCCTTATAATTTTTAATAATTATGAGAAATCTCGTGAACATAAGATTTCAGAAATTTTAGATTTTTAATTCCGTGAGCTCTTGTGCTTTATATTTAGAATATTTATATTTATGGGCGTATGGGAATGAGTTTCTATATATATATTTATAAGAATATGAATTTTATATCATGGATATTTATTTCTGTGCATTTCTTTATTTCTCTATATATTTCTTTATATATTTCAATCGAATTGAAGACTCGTTCTCGGAAAAAAAATTGAATTCTATATTCCGACTTATAATTACGATAATTGATCGATTTATTTGATAATATGAGAGATAACTATCTTTAAGAAATTCTATTATATTAGGAATTATAATTTATTTATAATATATACGAATTATTATGAACACTTAATTTTTAAAAAAAGAATTTTAAATATTATTGATTTCGAAAAATTGATAAAATAATATAAAAATGAATCTTAGATTATAAATTAATCGGATATATTAAAATATGAAATATTTCGATTTTTTCAAGATTTCGATATAATACGGAATCGTAATTTTCGATTCAAATAAAGAATAAAGAAATCAAATCTTTTATTGAGAAAATTATATATAATAAAGAATAAAGAAATCAAATCCTTTATTGAGAAAATTCTTTATTCGTCAAATAATAGATTATATAAATTAAATATTATTATGATATATTTCAAAAAGAAAATTATTTTAAATTCAATTTTCAATATTATATAATGATCTAATGAATTATTATTCTACTATTCTACTAATTAACTATGATCTTATTATTGAAAATATCAATATAAAAATATATTTCTATTGGACTCTTATTATATCATTATTATATTATTATTGATCTATTTCTATATCTTTTCAGATATCAAACAATATCTTCTAATTGATCAAAGGGAGAAGGGAGACTGGATTTCATTTCTTGGAGAAATAGATCCGATAACTCGTGAAATTAATCATGGGAAAAATCCTGGACCTTAAACTGATAAAATTTCAGAATCCAATAATTTCAATGCAAAGGTCTGCGAGATAGATGAGCGATAGATAGTTACCAATCAGAAGTTCCAAGAAATTTTCGAAATTGAAAAGGAATATAAGATATACCATCGTCCGAATTGGTAAAAAAAATAGTTAATAAGAATAGGCAACAAATAGATACTCATATTGCCAGAAATAATCGATATCGAATATCATATATATTATCTCGAAATCTTATTATAAGGAATCAATATCTAAAAGATTTAGATATATTTCTCCCAAGAGAATATCAAATTGATTCAAATATAAAATAAATATAGAAGAAGAGAAATCTCGATTCAGATGATTATATTATTAATATGATATAATTAGATTGCCATTAAATAAATTAATATTTTTCTATTATATTATCAAATTATTCCAAATTAAAATATCGAACTATTATTATTATTTAAAAAATAAGAAATGAATATTTATGAATATTTGTATTATAAAACCAAGATATATCTCAAAATTTATATATAGATCATGATTAATATATTATCTTCAATAGATTATCGAATATACTCGTTTATATATGAGCAATATTATTCGAAGAATCTA